ATTTCTGGCTGTATTAAGATAATATCCTTACCCTGTTCACCTTCCAGAGTTTTCAGGGTTATGTTTTTTTTTCCCCTCAAGGGAAAATAGCAAATAGGAATTCAGATCATAAAACTGATGCGGTTGTTGTTCTTCAACAACTGAAAAGAACTTTAATGGCAGTAAGAACCTACCTTACTGTTCTAATTAGCAATGTTTACTACCCTTCTGAGTCTGTACAGAATGGTACACAGAGAGCATCTTAAGTTTTTAATCAATTTTGTAAAACAGCTTAGAACACAAATAATTATGACAGGAGAGAAGATCATGAGCTCTGATTTGATTGGAAAAGAAATGGTGGTTTTGGATCTGAGAAACAAGTGATATGTAAAGGCATCATACAGAATATGTGACTGACAGAGACGTTTCTTTGCGGTTAAGATTTGATTTAACAATAGAAGTCAAATCCAAACACAAAAGAGTGTTTGGTGAAAAGATCAGCAGAGACAACACAAGTGCGGATGCTCCTGACATATTCTATATGAATTTATGCTCTTACTCATTTCAGAAAATTGTATATAAGCAAAATTTATTGCAAGTTATATTTTTACCCACTAAGGCAACAGGTAAATTAATCTTGGTGCAGTATTTCTCTTGATTTTATGAAAACAAAAATAATCCCGAAAAGTATTAGCGTTCAGATAAACTTTTATATCTAACAGACTCAATATATGAATTTCATTTTCTGTTCTCTTTCAAGATTTTTTCAATTAAAATTATTTTAAATTTTTTATAATCAAACAATTGTATAGGCCTACCCCCCCCCAAAAAAAACCCCTCAAAACCTGCTACTTGCATAAAAATAGCTTCTTTATAAATCATGTAGAAAATTGATTTATCTGAGTATATTATCACCTGGTCTTGGAGTAGCAGTAGTGGGCAGAAAATGTACTAGAATAACTTGACTTCTTACAATTGTCATAATGGAACAGTAGTACAAAAACTTCTGATTGCCTATGAGTTAAATCAGTTTCTGAGCTGAATGGATTTTCTTTTATATGGGAACATCCACAAAGACAATTCTGCCTTGCAATGTAAACTTGGTCTTTTGATTGCTGGACGGGGTCATTTCTTTTCATTTTGATAGAAAAGCTTCTATATGCAGTCTTCCAGGATGGAATAAATACAAAGACTTTGGATTAAAATTAATTACTTCATGAAGCCAAATTTAATATCATTTAAGGTCTGCATATGGTAAACTTGAAAAAATATAGTTCACTTTTTTAAAAAAATTCCTGGTGAATACATAGCTAATAAATCTGAACAATTGGTTCTAAGTACGAAAATGTTTCTTGTCATGTCCTTGTCACGTCCTTGAAGTTTACTACCAAAATAAAACTGGGTTTAACAGAAATAATTCCTTTAATTATTATAAACATGTCAATCATAAGAGTACAATTCTTGGCTACCAATATTTGCTTTCCATTAAGGAGCTCCTTCTGTATTAGCTTACTTTAAGACTCTTCTTTTGAGGAATGTCCTTCTTCCCAATACCCTATTTTCACTATAGCCACTCAGAGTTCATGTATGTTGTGTTATCAAGGTTCTTAGTTGCTTGAAGTGCCACAATTCTGCGTGTTTTATTCTATGCACTGTTTCCTGTCCTATGCACTAAAGCAGGGATGGCGAACCTTTTAGAGACTGAGTGCCCAAACTGCAACCCAAAACCCACTTATGCATCGTCGAGTGCCGGGTGGGTGTGGCCCATTGGCTGGGTGTGGCCAATCGGGTAGGCGTGGCCCATTGGGTGGGCATGGCTGTGGTGGTAACGACAGATTGGGTGGGACTAAAAAGTTCAATCAATCAATTCCAACTTTGCAAGACCTTTTTTTTCCTGCGAGAAGTTGAAATTGACTGATTGAACTTTTTTTTTTTTTTTTTTGCACACGGCGGCGGAGGCCTAAAGCGAAAAGGTTTTATAAAACCCAGCTGAAGGCCTAGGACTGGGGCGACGGCACGCGTGCCCACAGAGAGGGCTCTGAGTGCCGCCTCTGGCACCCGTGCCATAGGTTCGCCACCACTGCACTAAAGTCTTCAGCAGGGAATGGTGTTTATGTGAAAACTGGTTTAGGCAGTATTTCTCATTCATGAATATGTCACTGGAATCAGGATCATTTGAAACTCTTTACTTTTTAATTGCAGCAGCTGAACACCAGAACAATTCAATCAATCCATAGAATAAAAGAGATCTGTATTTATTTATAAATGTATTGAATTTATTTATCTATGTACTTTTTTTTTTTTTTACAGTACTTGGGTTTAATACAGACATGAGTTTTCAAACATATCCGGGATCTCTCACTTCATTCCTCTAAACTCTTGGATACAATTTTCCAGAAGATGTGATATTTAGGTCATACGGTCATTCTAGTGCAGAAACCATTTCTGTGCTTCATGCAGAGTGTCAGTTTTGTGTACGTGCCTGTATAGGCATGAAACATCTGAGTGTTATGTGAATTTTTTTACTGAGAAGTAAATTTTCTTTCCAAAAATACCACATGAGACAGCTGTCTTATTGCTAAACACTGATGTTATTAATATATGAGACAAAAGATTTGAACCAGTTATCTGCAATGAATTTTGCATGCAACAGTTTTCTTTTCTATTTGCTTTTTTCTTTAAAAAAAAATCTTTACAGTATAAATGGAGATCCCTTTGGTTTATTTAAAGATAGTTGTTCAGAAATACTGCTTCTCTGTTACAGAGAAGAGTGAAATATACTGTCTTAGCATCTCTTGCAAAATACAAGGAACATCACTTTTCTTTGCTCAGCTGGGAATTTATCCCTGAAATCTGGTTTGAGCCTGAGAAAATTTGCTCCTTTCATGACCTATTGGGCCAAGCTGACTATATTACATTATATAGAGACAGGAGACAATACCCTAGATATTTAAACACTCATTTGGATTTTTAGAAGACAAAAGTTTTCAAACACTTATTCCGAAAGTTTAAAAGAAATCAGTCCTACTGGACAGTGAGATTAAATGCATGCTATCTTAAGCTGTCAGAGAAAAAAGAGATACAATGGTCTTTCTGCACTAATTAGTCTGTGACATGTTCTCAAAATAAAATACAGTCTAGCTTAAGAAAAGAAATAGGTTCTCATTTCTGGTTTTAATAATGAATGGGTAATAGCAACGTTTTTAGAATGATATGCTCTTAAAAGAGATATAATATTGTTCCATGGGCCAGGCATGTTTTTTACTGAAAAGGAATCTAAGCAATGCTCATAGACCCTAGTCATAGTCCAGAAAGCCTAGGGACTCCAGGTCTTCAAGACTTAGCACTTCCTTGGTCTACTGCTTCTGAGGATACAAGCAAATGAAAACAACAGAGTAAATTATCTCAGTCCATTTGCTAACACTTAACTAGCTCATAAGAATCTGTGTCCTGCTGAGATTGCCACCTAAAGGATACAGATTCACACATATACTTCCTTACAAATAGCAGAGATCTAAGCCAAGGTTGACAAATGCTCAAATGTCTCTTAATTATTTGAACCCAGCTTTAATATAATGACCCCTCATACAAGATGAAAGGGAGCATTTGAACTGGAGAGGATGATGGTGGCAAAGCAATTGCTTCAGTCTTGAGGAAAGGTAACTGCTAGAATTCTTCTGTGGCTACGAAATGAGAAGTGCTGCATTTTAATAGGAACTCTTCCCCAGGAAGCTCAAACAAAACTTTTTGTGGTTAGAAATGTCATCTGGATTTTAAAAAGTAAGAAATATCTTCTTTAAGGAGGAGACTTAAATATTCCACTCCTTTCTCATTTCACTGACTGTTTCACAGGCTGTGTTTATATGGATAAAGTCTTTCACAGGAAGGATGAATACACCCAGCCCTTCCAATGTGCATTGCTGCATAGTAGAGAATACAGGCGAAAAGGACAGTTGTGCCATTAGATGAAAATAGCAAAAGGGATGAAAAAAAAAATCTAAATTCTGCAGGCCACATTGGAAGTCACCGTTTTGTCAATTATTGTTTCGAAAAATAACCCCACCGTACTAATTCGATTACATATTCCTAGACAAAATGGCTAGCTTATTGACAGCAGTTAGTTTAGCAGAGAAGGGCCTGAAATAAACTGGAACTTACTTTATATGAATTGTTAAATTTTCTTCTCTAAAGGTGGAGAGAACCACTGACAGAGAAGTCAGCCTGGTTTTGCACATGACAGTGCATCTATAATGGGACTGCAGCTAAATTAGATTTGTTATGAATATTCCAATGTCTTTTGCTTCTCATTATGATGTTCAGATAAATTTTATCGCTATAAAATATCTGGGGTTCAACAACATACATTATTATTTAATCTGGAGGAACTGACTTCAATTTATCTCAACAAGGAGTTTTACACGGCAGAAGTGATGTGATTCTGTTTGTTGAAAATTGCTTTGATGAAATACTTTATGGCAACTTGGAACCTCCTCATTTCTCTTAGCTCTGTCATATGCTAAAAGTTAGAAAAAGCCTACTTTTCAGATGATGCATATGTACAGAAGCTTCTATTGGCTTGGCAACTGCTGGAGACAATGAGAACATCTTGCAAAGTTAAATGCGTGCTTCACTCAAACTTTTATGGAACAAAAGTTCCATCAAGGATTTGAATAGCTCTACTATATAAGATCATTGAGAAATAATGGAACTTTTTTGGCAAAACATAGTCTTGAACAATTATAAGGAAAGAGATGGAACACTGATGCTCTACCCAAAAAATATCATCTACCCTCTATGTATACAAAGACAGCACCTGAAAGACAATGCCAGGCTAAAATGACTTACTGATACAGCATCTGTTGATGGTTCATGTGGAATAGAGATATCCAATGAGGCAAAATCATTCCAGGATAGTACCACACATAATTTTTAAAACATTTCTTGCAGAGCTTAATGCAGTACTATTGAGAAAATGTTCACTAGACATAATAGCAACATAAAAGATTTCAGTTGTTCCCTACCCCTGGGATGAGGTATTTCATCACAATTTCTTTGCCTTTCTCTCCCAATTTTTCATCTGGAAATACTTCATATTCTGCCTAGAAAAAAAATGCAAAATGATAAATTGTGCTTGTATTTTGCACATGCATAAATATTAATGTTCATGTATTCATATACTCTATAAAATGTTCATATACTTTTTTGGTGGTTGTAAATATAAACCATATAGCATAAACATTGGTCCCCTGACATACACCCAATGCAAAGAAACAGATCTGCATAGTGGTAGTAATTTTTTTTACAAACCCCTGTATTTCTTTGCTCCTCATGAGATGTATACTGTATGAGGAAGGACTGTCATAACAATAAATACACTTTTCACAGTTTTAAATTTAAATCTGTGGCATCTCTGTATTAGAAGGATCAGGTAGCTTGCACTATGAAAATCTCTACCTGATCAGACATGCAATCCCAAAATATTCTTCAGCTTTAAAAGGCAAATGTCTGTTGAAATTTTGGAGCAAACGTAGCTAGACAGAAGAAAGTTATATCGTGTGCACAATTATTAGGCAAATGAGTATTTTGACCGTATCATCATTTTCATGCATATTTTCCACCTCTAAGCTTTATAAACTTGAATGCATAGTGGATATAAACATATCAGGTGTAATGAGGGAGAGCATGGCCTAAGGAGATCAGTCTTTCAGAGGCATGCACCACTCTTTAAATTGCTATGATATTGAGGCAAGATCACAGAACCATCAAATGTTTTGTTGCAAATAGTCAACAGGATCGCAAGAAAAGTGTTGAGAAAAAAAGATGCACATTAATTGCCAAAGGTTTGAGAAGAATCAAACATGAAGCTACCAGGTACCCATTATCCTCCAGTGCTGTCATATTCCAGAACTGCAATCTATCTGGAGTGCCCAGAAGTACAAGGTGTTCAGTGCTCAGAGACATGGCCAAGGTAAGGAAGGCTGAAACCTGACCACTACTGAACAAGACACAAGACATATAAGTTGAAACGGCAAGACTGGGCCAAGACAGATTTTTCAAAGATTTTATGGATGAGATGAGAGTGACTCTTGAGGACCAGAGGGATGGGCCTATGGCTGGATCAGTAATGGGCACAGAGCTCCACTTTGACTCAGACGCCAGCAAGCTGGAGGGGGGGGTACTGATATGGGGTGTCATTATTGAAGATAAGCTAGTTGGACCTTTTCAGGTTGAAGATAGACTCAAAATCAACTACCAAACCCACTGCCAGCCTTCCTCACCTTGGCATGTCTCTGAGCACTAAACACCTTGTACTTCTGGGCAGTTCTGGAATATGACAGCACTAAAAGATAGTGGGTTCCTAGTAACTTCATGTTTGATTCTTCTCAAATCTTTGGCAGTTAATGTGCATCTTTTTTTTTCTCAACACATTTCTTGCAACCTTGTTGACTATTTGCAACAAAACATTTGATGGTTCTATGATCACGCCCCAATATCTTAGGCAATTTCAAGAGAGGTGCATCCCTCTGAAAAAGTCTGAAAGACTTTTTACAATTTTGACTTTTCAGAGTCAGTTAAATCTCTTTTTTGACCCATTTTGCCTGAGGAAAATAAGCTGCCTAAAAATTATGCATACCTTAATCTCCTTAGGCCACATATGGCCTTATTACACAAATACACATCACCTGATATGCTTATATCCACTATGCATTCAAGTTTATACAGCTTGGAAGTGGAAAATATGGATGAAAATGATACGTTCTCACTTGCCTAATAATTGTGCATATAGTGTAGAAACGAAGACCCAACTTGAGACTTCTCAAACTAGGCAAACTATTAAAGGGGTATCATAGTTTACCATATCTTATCTGAGTGTGCTCATTTGTGAGTGTATTTATATGTTAATATTTAATTTAGTTAAAATGATGTAGTTGTGATATTTTCAGTTTAAACATAGTTATAATTCCATGGATGTATGAAAACAGGAGATTGGATTCTCAAAAATTAGAGTCTCCCAGATAAATGCTAAGCCAATTAATGTCAGACAATGAACTTTGGCTCTGCAAAAATGTTCTTTTTATATATCTGCAAGTGGTATGACATAATTTAATAAATCATATTTGATAATGAGTTGTTTTAAATGGCAAACCAGCACTTTTAGCAATCTAGTGCTTTTGTGGGTAGAGATTTTCCCACCTATGAAGGATGCTACAGACCTATTTTAAAAAGGGCAGCTCATTATTTGAAGGCATCTTCTTTTGAAAAGCTATCCAAAGTCTTATTTAAAAAGTATATATTAAAAGGAATAGCAGAAGTCTTTAAACTGTTCTTTAAATTACTATATTTCAAATAATTGATTTATTCCTATACATCTAAATGCAAATTTGACAACTTTGCCCTACAGAATTCATGCTGAATCATCTTTATGAGAATAATTTCAGCTTTTAGAAATGTGGTAGCATTTGTTATTAAATTTACCAATGGCTGATTTGAAATTAAGACATGTTTAAGAGAAAAATATTCAGAACAATGAAGATTTGTAAATATGGAGAAAATTGTTTTAAAAATATTCTTCCCCTCCTCTTTCTCTGGATCCACACATTCCTTTTCGACAGCCCTTCCATAAACAATTATTGAACCAGACGTCCATCCTTTAACTTGGTGTCCTCCAGATGTTCAGGACATCATAGTGGTATCCAAATCAAACCACTGTGATACCAAATGGATGACAATGATATAATCTCACAAATGCCACAATTAAGTATTAGCATCAGGATGTCTTATTCAGGTATGGAAATTGTGACATTTGCGTGATTATGTCTGTGTGAATGTGCCATTCTTTGTCCATCTTCCAGGTGTTATTGATCTTACTGTCTAGGAATGAACAAACATCTCTGGAATTATAATGTTAAAAAAAGAATTCTAAAGATGTTAGTTTTTCATCTTTGTAAATTAGGACATTCCACAGTTGATGAAATTAATGTAATTAATCAATGAGGGTCTAGGATCCTCCCTGCTTCTTCAAAGAGGGAATACACACTTTGTGTTCAAATCTGAAGCTGTTTCTGTCATCAGATCACAAGGACAAAGGGACTGGGACAACCCTTCTGAAACTGCCTCTTCAAAGTGATTTGATGAAGGGTACTTTGTGTGCACAAATGCACATAGGACTCCTTTAAATACTTTACTTAGGTTCTTTAAAATGCATAGCACTTCCAGAAATAAGTCAATACTGAAATGAAATTATTCCTCCTCCATTGGCCCATTCATGTTTACAAAAAAATGCATTCATGTGAAAAACATGCAGGAGAGCTGGATTTCTGATTTTGCCAAAGAGAAGTCTCATGAGCACCTGCACAGTTGATGGTCTGCACAAAGTCCTTAGAAGATCATATCCCCTTCATTTCAGACTATGAAAATGTTCTTGGTGGCAGAGACAAAACTATTTCTACATTCTCAAGAGCATTTAAGTCCATTGCAAATGAGGTACACTTTTTTTAATATCACCTCAAAAATGGACCTATGATGAACCAGCCACTCTTATCATAATACTATCTCAGAATATTTTAGAAATCACCAATACAATTACATTTCCCTTATTAAATAGCCACTGTGAAATAAACTTTCATACTGCAAGATAAGCATGCTTTAAGATAAGAAACACACTGACTATTAAAATAGACGTGGCTACAGCCCTTCCAATCCTGTTAAATGCAATAGGATGAAGCAATTAAATACCCATAAACTCAGTACAAAGAGACTTGCAGCCCTTCTTTCATAAAATTTCTTGTCCATTTAGATTTTATCAGATCACAGGTCATGTTGCCTCTTCAAAGCACCAACAAGATGTTTATAGCATCTTAATGATGCTTTTTCCATCATCCCACCATTATTCACCCTTTGGAAAGCATTTCAGAGATTAAAAAATCATATGCATAAAAGAATTATTTCAAAAAAGCTTAGAAAATCTGGAGACTTATCTCAACCGGCACAATTCATGACTGCTACAAAGAGAGAATAGCACACGGCAAAAAGGCCAGTCCTGCTGATATACAAAATATTTTTAATCTAAAGAGGAAATATTTCTGCTTTAGCTTCTATGCATTTCTATACACAGAGGATAGAACAGCAGTCCTCAACATGTTGTTAGGACTTAATTCAACACAATTCTGGTCCTAACCATTATGGCTCAATATGTTTGCATTTGTCACATTTTCTATTTATTTATCACTTGAAAAGATATATTACTTTAGAAAAAAAACAATAGTTTCATCTAATAATTGCTTAATTATTATTTCTTTTAGATTTTTTAAATTCCACCGTTATTATTTTTCTAAATAATCCAAACTGGCAAACACATCTATTACTCCTTGCTCCTCCTATTTTGTCCGCAACAATAACCTTGTGAATTGAGTAGGCTGAGTGAGAGTGATTGGCCTAAGTCACTCAGCTGGCTTTCATACCTAAGATGGGACTAATTAATGGGACTAATTAATGGGACTAATTAATCCTAGAAACTATAAAGGAGTAAATTCACCCATTTGGTAAAGGGCATATGTTCAGACTTTTTGTAGTCTTAACAGCAAAATATGGCAGACCCCATCAAAATTTCCCCACAGGTCCAACCCATTTTGGCTGGGGAAGTCCCATAACATGTTATGTAACTCTGCCTTATTGTCTTTTCTTCCAGATGATTAAAAAAAAAATAACAACCCACAAGGGTTTATGTTATATAAGCTGCCTTCAAAAGGTTGTTTCATGTGGCTTATCACTCAATACCCAGAGGTTTTATGAACAAATAAAAGCTATCACTAAACAACCAAAATAGAAACATTCTGCAATAGTCCTCTTCCCCAATTCTTCCCAAAGCAGAAGTATTTCATTAAAAAAAATAATAATGGGGGGGGCGCAAAGAGAGGAACTCGCCAAAATGTTCTTTACCTAACTGCAGTAAATATTGGGGTTTTTTGGGGGGTATCCGATCTGAGTCTGGTCACCAGGACCAGAGTTTTAGTCTTCCAAGCTTTCTGACTCCTGCTACAGCCCAACCTCAGCTGAGGATGGAAGACTAAAACTCTGGTCCCAGTGACTGACTCAGACTGGATCCTGCTACATTACCCTGGGACAAGTATATTTGCTTTCATTCATTATTCTTTTTCTTTGAAAATAATAATAACCTTGCCTTCGTGGTAGCAGCAAAGGGCCTATGAACAGCCTGAGCTCTCTCACTGCCATTTGATCTCTCTACTGTGGTGCTTCCTAGTGTCATTTTGAGAGAGTTAATGCTCTAATGCAGTGTGTGTGTGTGTGTGTGTGTGTGTGTGTGTGTGTTACTTTATAACTCATAAACATAGGTATTATCAGGGCTTTTTTTCTCATAGAACGCCCAGAACGGAGTTCCGGCACCTTTTTTGGATGGAACCTTGTAGGGTGGGCAAGGCGGGTTGTATGACATGTGTGAGTTCCGGCACCTTTTTTTTTTTTTTTTTTTTTTTTTAAGAAAAAAAGCACTGGGTATTATAGAATGCTGGGATTTCTAGAATGCTAGGATTTCCTGAGTCTCCTATCCAAGTCCACCTGTGCTTATTTATTCTGAGGCTGTTTCAGATTCATCAGGTGTTGCCATATATCTCGAGAACCTAGCAATGCTCTTATCTAAATCTAGGGTCCAACTACCCTCAACTTAGGTTATGGTTCCCCTATCTCAAAACAGAATAATGTGATAATGAAAACAAGTAAACAAAAAAAGGTTACCCAAAATGTTTAGAGGAGCTTCTCTACGTAGAAAGAGCGTAACTGATATTCTCAGTTTGAAGTAAAGTAGGGGAAAATAAACGAGACATATGGAAAATATGACAGGGGGATATCTTACAAAGTTGTAAGTCAGTATTTCTTTATCCAGTACATAAACTATGGCTTTTTCATCTATCAGATAGGGTGATGGTTACAATTTTAAATGACTTTAACAAGGGGCTGGATAAATAGACAGAACATCGGGCTACAACTACTGGGGGACATATACTACCTCCTGAACAGAGTCAGCATATACTGAATAGCAGCTGCTAGGAAGGGCAATGGAAAAGGACATATCTGCTGGGCTACTGGGTGACACAGAATATTCTTACAAGACTCTTTGGGTTTATCGTGCAGGGCCCTTCTTATGATCTAGAGTCTGAAAAGCTTGTCGATGTCTTAGGCACTTTTGAACTTTACTATTTTTTCTTTGACATGTATAAATCTGTATACAAGTAGTCCTTGACTTAAGTGAGTCGTGCCTGATTTTACAACTTTTTTTTGCCATGGTTATTAAGTGAATCATTGCAGTTGTTATGTGAATCATTAAGTACATCCAGCTTGCCCCATTGACTGACTGCTGGAAGCTGGCCGGTAAAGTTGCATATATGTGACAGTTGCCATGTGCCTGAATTTTGATCATGTGATCTTAGGGAATGCGGTGAGAGTTGTAACCTAGGACTAGTTGCAAGTCACTTTTTCAGTACTGTTGCCATTTTGATCACTAAACGAATCATTGTAAGTCAAGGACTACCTGTAGTTCCATATAAGTGGGAACCAAGAACAGAGAACCTGGCCCTTTATTTTTAGATAACCCCATTTCACCATTCTAACCATCTTTATCAAACATACATAATCTAGGATTAAGGGAAACTTTAGGACCTAAAATGGAGAGAGCTCCAATAGCCAAGAGACTGCTTAGTAGGTAGATGTAATATATCAGTAATATAACAAATGGAGTTGTCCATGTAATGGGAAGATGTAATGGTCTTCTGGCTGTCTGAGTAATGGTAATATTAATACTCACAATAGAATGAAGGAATAATGATGTTTATATAGTGCTGTATCCAAGTTCTCAATATGTTTCACATACACTAGTGTTTTTCAACCATGCAACTTTATGATGGGTGGGCAGAATTCTGGGAGTTGAAGTCTACCCATCTTAATCCAATAGTTGCCACTATTTCACTAATCCAACAAACTGCAAAGCATTTATCTTTAAGAGAGTGACTTAGCTAAATAGACTGAGACTTGCCTAAGGTTACCAACTGAATTCACGGAACAGCTAATCAATAGAAGACTTCTGGTTTGTACTCTGAATCCTACATTTATTTCTTGAGTAAATTCTACTGTGTTTAGTGGTTTAGTTTACTCCAAGACTGAGTGTGCATAGAACCAAAGCTTCCATCACTGTCCCAAAGGTAATACTATATAGGTACATATTAGCCAAATTATCCATAGTTATTAAACAACATTATTACTCAGTGACCAGCCATTGAAACATTACAAAAAATTATTTGCTTTTTGATTGCTTTTGAATTCTGCTGAATTATTTTGATTTGCTTTCTCTACTATGCATGCTATGTTAAATAGCTCCAATTTTAAATTTACAAGGTGCAAGTATAACATCTTAGCCTCCTACGGACCGGATGCTTATATATAACTAAACCTTTGACCACAGGGGATAGTCAAAAGAATAAAATGGTGGTCACAACAGTGCAATCAAATCTCTGCCTGTTTTTATGTGCATTACACTGTTATGGTTGCCATCTGACTTTTTTCACCACACCTGAAGTCATTCATGATATAACTATTTCTAATGGAGAGGTCCCCAACCTCCGGTCTGTGGACCAGCACCGGTCTGCAGCATGCCAGAAGCCAGGCCATGCAAACAAGTGAACATCCATCCACACAAAACAGGCAGCACATGAAACCATGCCCCCTCCAGTCCGCGAAACAACCTCTCTCCACGGAATTGGTCCCTGGTGCACAAAAGGTTGGGGGCCTCTGTTCTAATGTAACATATTTATTTATTAAGTTTTTATGCCACCCATCACATTGTTACAGTGACTCTGGGCAACTTACAATATAATAAAAAGGTAACAAAGGTAATGCAAAATGATTACAATTAAGAGGATTAAATAGGAAACTAAAAAAAAAAAAGGGATGGGCAATACAAGAATGATGATCTCTCTACCCCATCAGTCACCCCCAGTCTAGAATGCCTCCATTGGGGCCCAGTACAGCTGGCAGAACCAAATTTTTAAGCTCCTCCAGAAGGCCAAAAGTGTGGAGACCAACCTCATCTCAAGGGAGATATATTCTCTTGAACCCCGCCAGCTGAAATTCTTTGCCAGATGGGATTCAAAGTAGGCCTTTGCTGCTGGAGCAAATGGGACTGGCTAGTCCCATTGGGATGAGGTGGCTCCTCAGTTGTATATTGAACATGGAGGATTAAAGGCTTTAACAGAAATCAAATCAATAAGTGCAATATATACATTGCTGATACATATTCAGACACAAGTAAACATGAAAACGGAAATACACATGTACACAAGCCTGGAGATAGAGGAGGAAGTTTAACAGTGTAACTACAAAGGTTACGGAGGTACAATCTATGAAAGAACAAAAAATGAAGGAAATCTTTGGATCTGCAAAGAAAGGCCCATAAGATACAATCAACTCTTGAAGCATTCAGAAAAACCAACTTACCACTGAATCAAGGAACTTAATACAGCACTGCAGCTCCAGGCGAGTCTCGCAGAACTGCCGAAAGAGAAGTCTTCCTATTGGTTGCTTGTCACATAAACTGTAATAATCTCTCTCTGGAGGAAATAAGAAGAGAAGGCAGGAAAGTGAAACTCTGGGAAGCTAGGTGTATGATTTAATTTTTTTAACCTTAAAAAAAATTAAACCTGGTATGAATCCTGCAGATTTAAAAACTTATAAAGACAAGTCATAGAAGTCAGAATTTTTCAGAGATCATACCCTGGATGCAAAGAAATTAGTATGGGATTTAAACACATTCCAAGAATTTTGATTTTATGTTATTTTTTGCATTTTTACAAAAAAAAAAGCATGTTTCTGGCTCCTACAATTGCAAAGATAGGCTTAAAAGTGTGAGGACGAAACCTGTTGAAATCTGAGAAACAAGACAGGAAAGCTATCCCAGGAGGGTTTCCAATAGTCAGAAAACTTCAGAGTCCTTTATAGCTACTTGCAACAGTACAGTGCATTCTACCTTCTAAATGCTTTCCCAGCATATGCTAATGCGTGTAGTACAGGCAGTCCTCGACTTACAACAGTTCATTTAGTGACCATTCAATGTTAAAAGGGCACTGAAAAATATGACTTATGACCATTTTCCACAGTTGCAACCTTTGCAGCATCCCCATGGTCATGTGATCAAAAGTCAGATGCTTGGCGACTGATTCATATTTATGACGATTGCTGTATCCTGGGGTCAAGTGATCACCTTTTGCGATATATATATATATATATCTGCAACAATTCTAAAAATTCAAGTCCCAGGTGCATTCATTAAAAAAAGACATGTTAAAACATAGATATTTGGGACAGAGAGTTCTTTATTACAAACTAAGCTTTCGTTAGCATCTGCTAACGTTGTCAAAGTATAGGTTGACATTAGGTGAGCCTCGCCTTTATAGCTCTTTGCATGTCGCTGATTTGGCCATTGAGCGATGTGGCCAATTGCAGGCGGCAGGGGGCGGAGGGACCTATAATGCGCTCAATGGCCAAATCAGCGGTATGTATACGTATATGTTTATGTATATATATTTAGTGATTTTCTGTTTTTTTTCCTAGAAAGAAACTCAACATTAGGATGAGATTACATGGACACATTTGTTTTAACATCTAAAAGTGATCCATGTTTAGTGAATAGTTGGTTCTGAATCCTTGCAGTGAGCATAGCTCAGCGTACTGATATTGGCACTTCTGTATCACTGTTCAATATTCAGCTTCCATGCTGAAACTGCACTAGCCTTTAAAATAATGCTGCCAGTTTTAAGTATTTCATGAGCTGAGACTGGAGTTAAGAAAGTGCAGCAGTGAGGGAACGGCCCCCTCTGCCTTGGCCCTGGCCCAGGCCAGCCGGGAGCCAATGTACAATTTTGTGGTGGCCATCTATGCTGAAACATATTCAGTCTTAGCTCCATAAGCCCCCCCCCCGCATGGCCTGAGAGGAACAGTGAGGCTCCTCCAGTGGACCATGCCTTGGCACTTGCCCTGGTCCCACCCCCGTCTGCCAGAGACCCTCAGATCTATCCCACTCCTGCCCAGGCCCCCACAGGCACCCTTGACGTGAACGATGTAGAGCTGGCCACACCCACCCAGTAGGCCACACCCACTCCATCCACGCCCACCCAGTAGGCCGCACCCACCCTGGCCACACCCACCCGGCCCCCTGAGGGCAACCGCAATGCTGATGCGGCCCTCAATGACATTGAATTTGACACTCCTGGTCTAAAGTATTTAGAACACAGTTTCAGATGTCCTGGGAAATCTCGATGCAGCAGGAGAAAAAAAAACCAGTGTATCATGAAAACACCACTGAAAGACTTGTACAACTTGACATATGCTACTGCAGCATCTGGATTGCAATAACGGAATACTCCAGTGGGCATTGTTCTATTTTGATAGCAAGAGCCCTTCACTTCTACACCCTTTTTTTAAAAAAAAAGTACAGTAGCCTTTTAAAAAAGTGTCCTGAATTTCTTCTTGTTCAAAAGGGCTTCTGGTAACTGTAATGACAGCAAGCCTGAAAAAAAAAGGCACACTAAAAATAAATTGGGATAAATGCAAAAACATGCATTCTAAATTATCAAATCCTTGGCAATATTTAATATATGAGAACAGAATGAACTTGATGGTAATCTTTTTTTTTTACAAATCCATAATTCCTGCTGTCTTTTAAGAAGCACAAAATGATTCCTAAATCCTCATGCTTAAAAGGAAGGTAAAGTAAAATAAATACAATTGTCTATAATTCTGAGATCATGTATATTAGGCCCATGACTAATTTGCTGGAAAATACATATTTATGAAGTAAGCATGCAGAGAATTGTTCCAAAGGCACTTCACATTTCAAGTGTGAAGGAGAGATATTCCTGGTGCTAAGAAATATATTTTTATCCCATATCTTTTTTGAAGGACCATTTGAAAAAACAGTAAAGGACTTCACATACAAGGTACTTGAGATAGGAGATGAGGTTTGAATTTGATGCATTAGCAAGTTTCAAGATTAATCTTGAAAATACTTCGGTATCATTATAACAAATAAGAATAGCATGTTATTCCAAAATAATTATGTAAAGGCATAGAATGAAATTAAAAAAAGATATGTCAAAATGGGACAAATTACAATTGACATGTCGGTAGAATTTCTCTGATTAAAGTGAATGTTTTTACTAGATTGTTATTTTTGTTCCAGACAATACTTATTTGGAAAATTGATGTACCATTTAATAACAACAACAACAACAACAACAATAATAATAATAATAAAGTTGGGGGACCTTGGAGGTCATCTGGTCCAACCCCCTGCTCAGGCAGGAAACCCTGTCCCATTTCAGACAAATGGCCATCCAGTCTCTTCTTAAAAACTTCCAGTGTTGGAGCATCCACTACCTCTGGAGGCAGGTTGTTCCACTGGTTAATTGTTCTAACTGTCAGGAAGTTTCTCCTTAGTTCTAGGTTGCTTCTCTCCTTGATTAGTTTCCATCCATTGCTTCTTGTCCTGCCTTCAGGCGCTTTGGAGAATAGTTTCACTCCCTCTTCTTTGTGGCAGCCCCTGAGATACTGAAACACTGCTATCATGTCCCCCCTTGTCCTTCTCTTCATTAAATTAGACATACCCTATTCCAGCAGCCTTTCCTTATATGCTTAGCCTCCAGTCCCCTAATCATCTTTATTGCTCTTCTCTATACTCTTTCTAGAGTCTCAACATCTTTTTTACATCGTGGTGACCAAAACTGGATGCAGTATTCCAAGTGTGGCCTTACCAAGGCATTGTAAAGTGGTATTAATATTTCACGTGATCTATCCCTCTGTTAATGCAGCCTAGCACTGTGTTGGCTTTTTTGGCAGCTGCAGCACACTGCTGGCTCATATCTAAGTGATTGTCCACTAGGACTCCAAGGTCCCTCTCACAGTTACTACTATTGAGCAAGATATCCCCTATACTATACCTGTACATTTGGTTTTTCTTGCCTAAATGTAAAACCTTACTTTTTTCATCATTGAATTTAAACAATGGCAGAAGATATATTTAAATTTTATGGAGGGGGAAAGAACTTGAGTTAAATATAAGGTGCAACAAGATGCAAAAAAAAAGAAGAAGAAGACAGTTGAGCCTACAAGACTTGAAGCTATATTTTGTTGCCTGTTGTTTAGCTTAGATGAAAAAGTGGATGTTGTTAAGGTTATTGATTCTAGAAGGCCATAATTTGAGATTTGGATGGCATTGGTACCTATGGAATAATAAAGCTAAGGTGAATGTAGTTTAAAAATCATTATTAGACGGGCTATACTTAAGAATGTGAAATAAAACTCCTTTGTAGCTTTCAGCCCAAGAATCATTTTATAAATGAAAAATGACAAGTAAATATAAATTGTTAACTTACCATGAAGTACTAGAATTTTCTTAAAGGATTTTAAAATAAAATGAAGAGAAGGTTTCATGTAAATGGTTTTTAGAAAAATTTAAAGTGGCTTTTTATTGTAAACTGCCCAAAGTCACTTAGGTGAGATGGGCAGTGTCGAAATCTGATAAATAAATAAAGACTTTATGGTTAAGAACAAAGTAACACTGTATTAGAAATAGAATTATGTGCTGATGAACATGTTATTGTTAAAATGTATAAACTTTTGTTGAAATATGAGACCGGAGAAGAACAAGTAAAAGTCTGTATGATAATATGACAGTGATGGTAGTATCATGACTGAGAGGCTTTGAGGTATCAATTGGGTTGGCCATCAACTGGCTGTATCCATTTGTTCAAAATTCACCCAGTCCCAAGGAGCCTTTCTGTCTCAGAAAGGAGGGCTTGTCTCACACACAGTGTTCAATTTACACTTTGATTTATCATGTTCACAAGCAAATTTATAGCTCTTTTTATAGGTTAAGCATCCAAATGTGGTTGCCTCCGTTTAAATACAAAAAGGATATGCAGTAATCCACCTAGCTTTTAAAAGGATGAAAGCTGTTTCCCTTCAAATACTATTCTGGGGACTCTTTAAAAAGGACTTATCCACTGTTTGATTTGAATCAATGAGCATTGCATCTGCTGCCATTAAATTTTAGACTAAGAGGCATAGCTGGAACCTCAATCATTGCAAGTGGAGTCACTAAGAAAGGACAGCAAGAGTTAATTTTTCATAGTGATAAAGCTTAAGTACAAAGGATCATTTTGGTATTCACTTCTCAAAGAAATTTAAGCTGAATGCTCATTACTCCTTGCAGAACACCCATCATATAAACATGGCCAGAATCCAAAAAGCTACTTTAGTAATCTTAAGGCTCAAGCACACCTGGCAAGATTTTGTCTTTTGATTTTCTTTGAAATACACATCTTTATGTTAAAATGCAAAATGGTTTTGAAAGATGTTTCAACGCCATTATGGAGCGAAGGATTAGTTTGATGTTAATTTCTCTTTACTTGCAAGGAGAATTGTTTGCCCTACTTATCCAGTCTTAGTATCTGGTTTCAATCTAATAAACAAATGCCATTTTCTCTTACCCCTAAGCCAATGCAGCTAATGAACTAAATATTTTCAGTTACAGCTATTGTGAGAACCTATTCAC